AAAGAAATTCATTACTTAATGTGACTGCCATGCCTGGACACAGTTCAATCCACCCCAAGGTTAACAACGGAAAATCATTGTGTACTGAACCTGCCGTGCCCATATCTTTATTCTTGATGTCCCTGCAGCAGTTTGTATATAATGAAAAAAAAGAAATCATTCCATAAAAATGAACACACAAGATACACAAGGTGTGTCGGAAACGCAAAAAAAACACACATCTGCACATAACGTGCAATGAAATTGTAATGAGACACACAAAGGATTAATAGCATGAAAACAAAACAAAAAGAAAGCCGTGATCACCATGTGAATACGTTCATGAGGCAAGAAACACAATTCCCAGCAGCAGGTGTGTGTGTGTCTTTTGTACAGGGCGAGTTTTGTACAGGGCGAGCAGTGGGAATGATGCACACATGATGACAGTCCACACACACACACACACAAAGAGAAGAAAGGTTGGCAGTGTGCGTGTTTGTGTGTCTTGAACCTCCTGCCATTCTTCACATTTCAGTCACAGCAATTAAAACACATCGGGATTGTATCCCATTCCCATGGTAAAAGCAATAGTTATTAATATCACGGAACACACACATCACCAGGAGGAAACAGTAAATGGCGGCAAAGCAGAACCCAGATAATAATGCGAACAAACAAAGAAGACACTCCCCTCACAAAATGATGGTTTGTCATGTGATGGGTGCCATAGGGAGTCCAATAGATGTGTCCAGCATAAAAATGCAAACAAGAGATCTATCGAACTGAAAAAGAAAAAAAAAAACATCAAAACTCAACAAAAAGAACAGTGACCTCACAATGCATCCATATCCACTCAAACAAAGGTTAACTGTGCAGCTGCGTCATGGGAACACCGATTAGCAAACGAGTGTGCAACCCAACACACATACGAGAAGAATAAGCATTAAGGGACTGTGCACCACTGCAGGACCAAGGCTATCGTCTGACCCTTTTATGGCTTTTTTCGCTAGTTCCACTTCTTCCTTTGCCTTTCTTGCTCTTTCTTCCGCTTCTTCTTTTTCCTCTCTCGCCCGCCTTATTCTGCTCTCCTCTTCGGCCCGCACCTGTGCCGCAGCATCATCGCGCTCTTTCGCTTGTCTTGCTTCTTCTTCTTGCTTCAGCGCTTCAAGCCTCCCTCTTTCTTTCTCTTTCTCCACTCTCTTTCTTTCTTTTTTATCTCGTCTCCTCTGTTCGGCAATGATCCTTTCTTTTTCCTGTCTTTCCCTCAGTTCAACTCTGGCTTCTGTAATAGCCTCTTCTGTTCGCACATCCAAAGGATCCCTCTGCGGCACAATTTCACGCCTCTTACCGTGGCGTACTGTTGTGCCCACCTCCTCGTCACTCACAGTAAATGTCCTCCCTCTATATTTGGATTTGAGCGGCGCCGTTCGTGGTCCAGTGCTTGATACATTTAGTTCCATAATTGTCTCCAACACAGCTTTGGTTGAGACCACATCATTCTTGATTTCGTCAAGCTCACCTCTACCTTCCGACTGCCTTTCGCTGACCTCCGTGATGCTTGCTTCTGTCGCATTGAACTTCTCAACCGTTTTATTCATCTCCTTCTTCGCTTCCACTATCTGCACGACGGCCTCTTCCCTAACTCCGGCAGAGCGATAGAATCTGTCACTCATATTCAGCTCAATTTTATACAGCTCTTCGGTTATATCATTCAAATCCCTCAAGAGTTCTTCTCTTTCATCAGTCACACACCCCGTAAAATTGTTTCGCAGTATGTGATCAAAATACCACCTCTTTGCTTTAATCTGTTTTACCCAGTCACTTAGGTTGCCAAATGAAGACTGACAATCCACCTGCACGCCCGCTGCAACTGCGATTAACGTCGCCATCTCTTTAACTTCCTTCACCGTTGCGTTCACCTTCACCTTGGCCTCCTCCAGTTTTTTCTTTAATTCCGTGAGATCTTTCGGTGCACTCTTTCCCACGCGTGCACCGGCATTTTCAACAAACATACCCTGCATCTCTTCGACGACCTTATCTGCCTCCGACGCAACAGTTACGACTTTCTCCTTACCTTTATTGCATACATCCACCTTCTCCTCCAACTCGGCCAGACAAACACTTGTATCCACAACAGAACCCAGCGCGTTGGTTCGTAACTCTCCCAGTACGTTTTCCGCATCCCTCATTGCATCCTCATAATCCATTTCTTCACATTCTGCGTATGCCACACACACACAGCATTGGAGAAGTGCCAACAGGTACACCATACGGCGCAGTTGGACGAACATCGTTGTCATGATTGTCACTGTGAGTT